TGCGATCAACGCCATCTATGATTTGGGCTCAAAAATCAAGAAAGTGATAGGAATATAGAATAGGCAAGGAGGTCGTCGATGTGCTGGTCACGTGACAAACATGGACAGAGAGGGGATAGAAAAGGATAGAATGGCTCCGCCAGTGAAAAATTATTAATTACTCAATTTCCGTAATTAATTTATGAACTTTCATAATTTCATTGCAAAGCTGGAACTTCAGGCTACATTCTTATATAATTTCCGTCAAGAATTTAGCTCTAAATTGTTAGTTATCAATTTTTGTTTCATGGCGTTTATGATTTCGTAACGGTGACCATCACGATCTTCCGTGGAAATATTTAATACTAATCGAAACTAGAAACAAAATGTGATCAAAAGTTATATGGGAAGATTCGCAAGAACATTGTTTTTATAATGAGTGCATAAAGTTTCATAAATTAATTGCGTAAAGGATAGTAATTAATGAAAAATAAATGGCGTCTTCGACAATCTTCGACGACAATTCAAACACTGCGCAGAACAATTATTAATAATTAATTAATTAGGGACAAATTTATATCGAAAAATATATGTGAAAGTTCTTGAAAAATCTGGCTTTAAGATAGAATTATAAAAGTTCATAAATTAATCCCAAATATTGCGTAATTAGTGAATTTTCCACTGCCGATATGATTTATTAAAATATATTCGGAGCACATAACCAGAGTTAGTAAACTAACATCAGCGCCATCTATATCGTAGATGGCGCTGATTGAAGGCGCGTGAATTTGAATCGATTATTATCCCAATAAATTAATTCGACATTGGAAAATTAACAAATCCTGAGTTTCAGTAATTAATTCATGAATTTTTATAATTGCATCACATCCTTTGTGCAATAATTAATAGAAATTAATTAATTTTAAAAGGAATTAATTTATCCAGAATTACCAAAATCTTGAAATATATATTACCAAATATTTTATTAAGATAATTTGTAAAACGATATATTATTTTATTTATTATTTTGTATTATTAAATTTTATAATACTATTCATTTAATGAATCTTTGTGTCATAATTAATAGTCAAATAGTATAAGAAAAGAAAACATTGCAAACTTATTATATGTTACGTATATAAAATCAGTCCAGGCACAAATATTAATGTACAACCATACAAAATTAATTATAAACATCTTTCTGTCAAGATAATAAAAAAATTCAGAAGTAATAAAATTTCAAAAACTATTTTTCCACGTTTCCAATTATATTGTTCATTATATTATACATATTACTCATCTTTGAATTTACAGCAAATCTAGTAACTTGTAAAATTAATGTGGAAAATAAAGAAAATTAAAGCCCAAATCGATAATTAAAAATTCCTTCGTTATTACTCTTTAAAATCCATAGATCTCTGCATTTGACAGGACTAATTTATCACTAGTGTGCGCTATACCTAGGCGCAAAATTTTCCCTAGCAATCAGGAATTCGTTAGGAAAAATTGACGTCGAGGAAAAAAGAAGTTAATTGTAGTGGACGCCGGAAGAAAAATGATTCGTGCACATGCCTCGGCGGGATTAGACACAATACATGTTTAGAATGGCGCAGCGACCTCCATCGCCTCGCAGGCAAAGAAAATAATCGTTGCTCCAGTTGGATGTGCGCCAGCAAATGTAGCTCCTTTTTAAGTTTACCCTTCGAGCGTAGCCTTGACTTTCAGGCCGTAAAATGTGTGTATATCTCTAGCCGGTACCTTGCACCTGTTTCCTAAGATA